CAGGTTAAGTTAAAAAATCAGCATAATCGGGCCATTATTTTAGAAGTTATGCTGTTTTTTACATTTCCTTAGATTCAATTCTTAGGCATGTTAACAGTTTCATTATTTAATTAATAAGATATGTAAAAGTGTTTTTTTGACATTTCCTGCATCTTTACAACATTGTTAGTTGATTTTGTAAAAATGATGTTAAACTTGTTATTGTGTATTGTGTAATAAAGTTTCAAAAATGGAAATAAACTCATATCATTGCAGTTTGTCAGTTTGCTCTGTAACATTTTTGGAAAATACAATAAAAGAAATTGTATTGATTGTATTTTCCAAAAATGTTACAGAGCGATGGCGAGTGCCGGGAATGATGGATTTAAGGTTGGTGAATTGCGGAAAAGTACTGTTTACCCCGGGATAATTCAATTTTGGCGCGAAAATCCTCTTTTGTGTCCTTTTAACACATCACAATTAAAAGTAATTTGGGGAAATGCTCCTCCTTTTCTTTTACCAAGAACCACCTCCATTTTCATACTCTTCTTATTGGTCCCTCTGCACTATAGAAAAGATTGGAAAAGTCACATAACTTGTATAATTTTGTTGCTGTTTATTTGTATTGAACATTTTCAGGAATATTTATGTTTTTCAGAGATTCACATATATATTCTTTGGTACAGAAAAGTTCAATTTTTTCCCTTTAATCTTAGCCTAAAGTGTGTGCTATTACTCACAAAGTTAACTGCATTCCCATTATTATCTCTGATCATGACCTTATCAAGTTCCAACTTTGGTTTATGAAAAAATCCGGGTTTAAGCTATGGGAGGAGATGATAAGCCCACGCTTTTACACATTGGCTGGTGAAAACTATATACCACTTGATTTGGTAAAAAAAAGACACATTTATAGTTTATACACCATTCCAACAGACTGCTGAAGATGTCTTATATTTGCTGTCAGTATCTGTTTGTAATTTTAAAAGTAGACAGACAATCATCATAAACTACACCCATTTCTACATTAAACCAAAGAAATTTCATCCTAAAGTGACCAGTAACATATACTTATTCCTTTGCTTATTTCAAGAGTATAGAGGGGGGAAAGGAAGAGACATTTCCTTAAATAACTTTGTTAAATTATTAATTTATTTATGAATTTACAATTATTATTGTTATTATTTTTCTTATTAGTTGTTGTTGTTGTAGTTGTAATATTTTTGGTAAATCTAGGATGAAATTTCTTTCAGAATAAAGGTTAGTATTAGCAGAATTAAATATTTGGACTAAATCAACGACAAATCTGGTGTAATCTTGAAATATCTATTATTATCTATGTAATTTTTTAAAAATAAGATGCTTAACTACGTTTGGATAAACTGCACTACTAACTTCAGCCAATTATCAGCATACTATTGTTGCAACAGCTTGTTAAGAAATTTGTACAATTGGGCATGTCTCCTGTTTGAAATATGATTTGATATTCTTATTCTCTTAGTCTGAAAATATCTTGCATTTAAAAATACTGACACTGATTTGAATTTTCATGCATTTCAGTAAAACCATCACAAAGCAAAATGATCCAAACATTTTGATGGACCACATATGTAACATAAAAAGGGACCATTCCTACAGATATTTGAATTGCTCTATCTCCCTGGGGAGTCTCACTAAATTGCTGTCAAATTGATCAGCTGAAATGTCTTTCATACCTAGTAAAGCTGTTTTGGTAGGCATGACAGACATTTAAGCCGGTTAGTTGACAGCAATTTAGTGAGACCCACCCAGGGAGTTAGATCGATCCAGATGGATCGATCTAGGCATGGGAACCCAGTTTAATGATTAAAAAAACCAAAAGCTCTTTTTCAGTTGCCAAAGCCCCAGATGAGTTAATTTGTATTTCCAGATGGACGTGCTATGCTCCATCTTGCACGAGGTGGGTCAGGACCTGGAGGTGGACGATGGTGACCAGATGGACACTTTGATATGTGGTGTGCGTGATGCGGCATTGGAACCGCACACTGAGCCCTGGTGCAGGGGGACGCTGATGCAGATCTTGGAACTACGAGCAAGTCGTTGGGAGCTACCTCACCATGTGGCACAGTTTTATTATGAAAACTCTGCAGATTGATGATAGTACATATGGAGGAGGCAGGGGATGGGGAGGGGGGGGTAAAGGAGGAATAACCTCTAGAGAGCAAGTAGTTGTATGTAACAGCAGTGATCTAATCCCTTGGTTTATTTTAAAATGCAATATTAAGTTGTTTGTTGTCCCAAATTGATTATTTCAGGAGGGAAGGAAAATGCCTTTTTTATTTTCTGTATTTACATTGACTCTTAGTCAGCAATTCACTATTTGATACTTTTAGTTTATTTTTGTACATTTTGATTACTCTTTATATTTCGTACACTGTTTTGCAGAACTAAGTTTTTTTCTTGAATTGTTTATGAATCACAAACATCCTAGTCAAGTACTTCATAATGTCAGAAAAAAATGCCATGCTTTTATTTACTGCTTTTATTTTGTGTCCAATTTGCCGCCATGATGGAAATGATTTGTGTAGTGCATAAACTTTTTTTATCATCTTGTAGAAGCAGCTTTTCATTAGTTTTCTGGAACATGTACATTTAGATAAAAGTGCCAAAATTATATACTGTGAATGGTATGCTGCTCAAGTGTCAGCACTTCCCGGCACTTTTCAACTTTTATTAAAATATTTGTATACGTTTACATGGTTTGACTGTAAACCTACTAAAACTAATAACATTAATGGAGTACTTAGTAGTCTCTGATAATTACCATGATATTCAATAGTTCAGTGTGTTTATGTTGGAATATGCAAGTTCCTTGTACTCCTTCAATGTAATTGTGATGTCAAGCATGTCAACAAATTAATGGCTGCACTGGTTTATTTTGTTATATTTACCTTTGTTTTTAATACTGGGATAATTTCATGGGAAGATATATGGATTTTTTTTTGTGTGTGTTTTTGTCATAATTTTTTGTTACTACTGCAATACACACTGTGCTACTTCAGACCCCAGATCAAGGCCCAGTGACAGTTTTAGTATTTCCTTGTTTGTGTAGTGTAAGGTTAACCTAGTAGTGAGTCGAATGTTACACCTTATCCAGTGTTTTATGTAGGATTTCACCAATGCAAATAAAAGCTTAATATAATAAGTATTTCTCTCAGATATTACTCAAATTGCTACATAAGATCCTGCAGGTCTAGTATGAAAATAAAGCATTTTTTGCTGAAATGCTGGTAGGAGTAGTGTTTTTAACCTATGAAAAATCTCAAGAAGGTAACTTTAAGAGTTTGACTCCTGCAGTAAAAAATTTTAAAGCTACACATTTTCTTCATACACCATGCCTTCCATTGATGGTATTTTCTGTCTTTTCATTAAACGTTTGAAGTTTTGCTTCGCAACCACCATAGGTAAATACCAGTAGACAAGATTTACATGAAAATAATTTAGGGAAAAAATCAGAGTAAATATCTTTTACCTTATATACCAGAGACCCTACTTTAATTATTTAGAATATACTTTCTACTTTACATACATATCGAAAATTAACTAAATGGTTTTGCATATATGTACATGTACTTAAGCAAAACGTGCATATAGAAAATTACAAATGTGTTTCAAATGTGTACAAACGAATGTCATTTCGGACACGTCTTTGCACTGGTAACTTTAACCTGCTTCATATATATTCCATAGTAATGAAAATAAGACATCATAATAAATATAAACTTTAATGAAATTCCAAGAAGATAAATGATAAAGAGTATTTTGATAAAGATACAATTAAAATTCCACCGTGGCATGATTTAAAACAGATTAAAATAATCCTGAACAGTATAAATATAGTCACTTATAATTACTGTATTGACTTCTTAATGTACCACCATTATATAAGTGAATGCCAATTCAAATGCCCTTTAAAATGTGAAAAAGTCCATATGCTCGCCCAACGAAAAAGAAAGTATACGCACACGTACGTTTAAATTTATGTGCCTCCCCCTAAAAAAAAAACTGAGACACGCATACAAGCTTAAGTAGATCTAACCGCATTTTCAATAAATCGATTGATACTGAAAATAAAGTGTTTTCTTCTTACTCATGTGCAATGACGAAACATAAGCTTGCTGTTTTTCATGCTTGAAAAATCCAAGTGGAATTTTTAAAAAGAACACTGATGTCTACATGTATACTAGGCTCCAAAAGTGAGCATCTCCCTGCGTTATACAGATCTAAATCTATTGACCTTTATATATATGTATATATTTTTTCTTATATTTTCATATGTTTATGTATACTGACGTGTGTAACAAAATATAAAAGTACCCTTGGCGTGCGCCGTTAGTGT